AATATGTAAAAAATATGACAAAAAGCAAGCTATTGATTCATGTTAAAAAAACTGATGTAGGAAGGACAATGAAGACTCCTCAGCAAGTAAACTACCTTGAATAATAGTAAAATCACTGCATTGAAATTCTAGTGCTGAAAAGATCTGAGGGCTAGATTATCCTACATGTTCAAAACAGCTCATCTGCAATACTTTAAAAGCATAACACCCACTTGCTCAGACAACTTGCTTCAGCAGGACTACCTGCATGAGCAAGTATTGCTAAAATTCAGGAAACATTATAGAAATGAACTCAAAGGAGAGAATCATCTTGTGCAATGAGACATATTACAACAGCAATTAGATAAAAAAAAGAAGTATCACAGTTATCAGGCTGACATATGCTGCACATATCCCAGTCAAGCACCCACCACCTTGATGTAAGTCACACAAATGGCCCGAGATATGTGACAAAAATGAGTTAGTGATGGTTATGGGTTGTGATGTGCTGTGTGTGCAAACTACGTTGCAGACACGTGCTAAGTGCTCCAACACTCAGTCAGCAGCAGGTTTGGGTTCTCTGGAACTGAGACTGGTGTTACAAGTTCAGAGCACATTATATCAGGAAAGAATATTCACTATTTGCACCTCACACCTGCCCATTTGCTGAACAACTACAAGCCACGGATCATGAGGTTCAGTAATAGTCAAGAGAGGCACTCACTACAGTTTCCTAATTTGAACTTTCTGTTTCAGAATGTAACAAACTATACCGTCCCCCATCCGCAGGAGTTTAAGATTCAGATACAATTTTAGGAAAAACAAAACAAAATACCAGGGTTTAACAAAAAAAAAACCAAAACCAAGCCAAATAAACCAACACCAAAAAAAGCCAACCCAACCCCAATACCTTTCCCCTTCCCAAACAAGTCGCATTGACTTCTGCAGAATGATGCTGACTCAAACCCTCTCATGGCCCCTCTCCTCTAAGTCAGGTAGCTCAACTGTTGAAAGTAGAAAATAGTAAACAGAATCCTGAGAAGAATCCAAAGCTTTCTATCTGGAATAATTCTGCTGCTACATTCATAGTTCAGAAAACCGAGACAGTTGCTGCCTGGAACAACAGGAGTGCTGTAAACATTTTGGAGCCTGTTTTTCAGCCTGTTTTTTCTAGGTGAAAAAAGTCCAAAACACTTCCAGTGTTGACAATGCTCTTTGGAGGTGAGCAGGCTGACTTCAGTTACAACCCACAGATCAAGAGCTTTTCTGGCTTACAGAATTAATAGCATTTTTCTCAGCTGCTGTGGAGATCACACGACCCTGTGTACATCATGCCAGGGTGGAAGACAACTATGAATCATTCAAGATCCTCAATTTTCTTGACAAGCATTTAGTCTGTCAGACTGAACAAAGCAGGCCAAGATGGCCTCAGATGGGATTACGAGAAGACCTTCACAAAGGACTAAACTGCTCTTTTATTACAGATTTCACTTCATAATTCCTTGGAATTGCTGGCACAGGAGAAAAAAAAACCAAACACACCAACAAAATGAAAGAGGAATTCCAACTTGTTTCTGGCAGTTGCTGTGACTCAAGAGGAACTGGCTGGAATTTGAACTCATCTAATTTCTTACAGGAGACATCAATCTGATAGGATGTACAGAGAGTTTGAAAGGAACCTGCTGAACATGTTTTAGGAATTTCTGGGTCTGTCATGACAGCTAAGAAACCCAACTTGCATAGTTTCAATATAAATAAATTAAACCTCTCAAATAAATAAAGTGTTTTAAGATAAAAACCTCCAACATTTAATTTGTTTCAGGATAAAGAGAGACCTAAGTTCTATCACTTACCTTCAAGCCCTAACAGTCTCATCTTCAAATAACCTAAACATCTGGGAAATATCAGGCCACACAGGGTAAATCTTTAAGCTGTCCTTCTACAGAAGCATGTGATTTTAAAAAGTAATTTGCTGGCTATAAATAAAAGTAACTTTACCTTTTATGAAAATGTCTGAAGCTTTTAAAATACTGTTTTCACTGAGATGCACACGAGGCTTTAAAATTCCCTTTTATTTCATCACATGAGATGCACCCTGGGCAGGATGGCTCTATGTTTGAGTCACCTTGTTTACTGCCTTTTACTGAAGCTGCTTGTTTAATCAGTCCTCAGGATTTTAGGTATGGTGCACCATAAAAAAAGTTAATATTGATGCAGAGCATTTTCCTGTAATTTGCTGATGACTTATGGATCCAACACTGACACAAAGCAATTTTTCTTGATTTTAATAGAACAGTGGCAGTTTTTCTCTGTGAGGTCTCATTCTGAAAATACATTTTTGATGTTAGTCCCATACTTTTTTAGGACACTCACTTTGAGACTTGAATACTTTCATTAACATTGACAAAAACACAAAGATCTTTCTAGCCAATATCTTTTGCCCACAATGCTGCATGCAAGTTTGCTTATGCAGTATTTTGCTAAGCCATGGTTTGCAAAAATGAGATTACTGCTTGCAGAGAACTTGTTGGGACATTTGAAAAGCTCTGCATTCTAAGTTCTGAAATCTCACATAATTGTGTTCGAAACCAAATAAACCCCAATGAAATATCATTCCCCCTCTTTCCTCTGGGCACAGAGGATGAGGAGGGCCAGGAGGGAACCAAGACGAAACAAATCTAAGAATTATTACCATCTAGTTAAGTACAGAAAGAATTTAGATTTAAAAAAAATGTCTAACCAAAATAAAGTAAAATAATCTCCCTGAAAAGCAAGACAGAACATATTTACATCATACATTGTAGACAAGAAAATAAGATGAAAAGTTTGCGCTCTCTCTTCATCCATTCTGCATAGGAACAAATTCCTAGCTTTGAAGCTATGGGAGAACCTACCACCATTTTGCCTATTATACCACATTATACTAGTGGTATAAAACTGGCTACACTAGAAATGGTAAAAAAGCTTGTTACACTTTGTCCAAGCTGTTCTTTTCTGGACATGTTTTAGACATTTAGAGTGTGCAAGTGTGTTTTAGACCCCCAGAGCCTGGCCCATTGTCAATGGATCAAAAAGGGGACCCACGTACCTGAACAAAGTGGCTGCAGTGAAGATAACTAAATCGCAGTAATGGCTTTAAATTCATCTTTAGAAAGTAAGAAGGGGGTTTGTGACTAAAAACCATTCAATCTTTTGTAAAGCCCTTAAAATTCTCTAGGTTTAGATGCTTTCTATGTCCACTGTGAGAGGAAATGGTCCTAATTTCACATTCCTTACTGTTTTCCTGCCAGTGCACCCGTTGGCAGTTCTCCTTTCTCTGCGTGCAGCACGTTCATTCACTGCGATTACGGATGCTTTACATCGCCCCAATCTCCGCAGCACTCACAGGATGTCTCACTCCCTCCTGCCACACCACCCTGACTATACCTCTCACAAAGACAGCACTGCCAGCTGGGGAGGAGCACAGCACAAGATGGGCAGAGGAGAGACTTCAGAACCATTCCTGTTTTGCTGTCATTGTACACTGTTACTGTGGTTAATGTTTCTGATCTGCAGCACAATCCCATCCAATGCTACCCCTACCATCACCTATGGCTTCCCAATGGACTATACTCAGAGAACCTTACTCACTTCTGTCCTGAGGGTTGTGTGGACAGTAATTAAAAATCAAAGATCCATGACAATTGCTGAACAGATCCCCCAGAGAATTCAGGATGAACAGGAGCTGGGAATATGTGAACTGAAAAATTACTTCTCACAGGACTGAGTTTTCCTAATTTTCTTTTAAGATTGTAACTTTTCTGTACAACAACAGATGCACAAACAGGATGCAGTTCTTGTACTGAAACTATGTACAAATAACTGGAATACATGCATAGACTCAAAGGGCTGTTTTCACTTTATTTAACATAAGCATTTTTCCAAAACTGCATAAACTGAAGTTTCCTTTGAAAACTGCCTAAGAAGAACATTATGCAGAAAAGCCAGGAAGTAGGAACAGTACTTGGGGAAATGCAGGAAGCATGGAAATTACTAAGGGGAACACAAATTTCAGATAAACAAACAAATGAGCAGAAGGAAACTATAGAAGTCTGTAGCAGTGAAGGGAGACACTTTTCAGATAACTCAAGTGCCAGATGACTGAGACTGGGGATGTGTGGAAGAATTGCACTTAATTTTTCAAGGCTTTTAACTGGAAAATTTTTTAGACTCTATTATACGCACTGTTCTCTTTGTAATTACTACACTCACTTCTACCATTGATAATGTGCATAAATCTGCTGTTTGTCATGTTCATAACGCACTTAATAAACGTCCTCTAAAGGAAGGAAATCACACTGCTTGAAAATCCACTAACTTGGAGAGAGAGGGGTGAAAAGACACTATTCTTAGCATATACACATCACTCCTAGTCCTCTGACATATCAGCAGTGGTTCAACCAGAGGTGACATGAGAGTAAGTGCACATGGCACCTGCCTGGAAAAGTATTTGAATAAACACAGATGTGCCCTGACAGCTACTTGAAACCTAAATGCTTTCCAAGCCTGAAATCCCAGTGGTGGCAAATCTGTCAATAGCCAACATTACTATTTATCTAGAAAGGCATTCACCCACCATCAAGAAAGGGTTGTATTTGGTTTAGATGATATTAGGCACCCTGCACTCGTGTTGCTGTACAAGTTCCTAGACAGGGAGCGAGGAAAGTTTACAGACAGCAATGACAGTAAATGTTAACTTTCATCTAAATATAACAGCCTTAGCTGGAATCTGGTCAGAATGCTTTTACTGCAAGAGGACAAGATACTGCTTTTACATCTTATCCAAATGGCAAGCAATTGGTATATTGGTAATGGCCAAAAAAAAAAAAAAAAAAAAAAGATAAAGCAATGTTTTATTTAAAGTTATTGCCTTCAGTACTTAATGTAAAAATTAGCTACCTACCAGAGTGCTTCAATGTAAACAAAACAAAGTGCAGTGAGAAGTGTAAATCTATACATAAAACCCATTAACCTTTCCTCACCTGATCTTCTTCTCCACCCCCTTCTTCATCGTATTTCAGAATGTTGTCCCTCACATCATCTTCAGGATCAATCAAGAGCTGCTTTGCCTGGCGCTCTTTATCACGGCGTTTCATCCATACCACAAACATTAAAACTAAAACTGTAACACAAAAATGGAAGAGACAAAACCACACCTTAGTTATGGACCACAGCCATAAAAATTGTAGAAATTGTGTGAAGATTTAAAAGAAGAAGAAAAAAAAAAAAGCAATGAAATTGGATTTGACTGTTCTGGAGGTTTTTAAAATTAATAATTTGACAGAAGGCAGCGTAAGTAAGAGATGTTTCAACTGAGACCACTACAGACAATTCAGTTTAGAAATCAATCACATATTCAAGGTTGTAAGTAACAAATCCATTCCACATTGCAAAATAAACTTGCCATGAAAAGAATTAAAAAAGACTGTGCTTCATAAACCACTATATTCAGAAAGAAATCTTTCCTTCAATAAGGCTCTGTTAGTTTCATACCTAGCATTTAAAAGATTTCTTCTATCAAGAAAGTAAATGCACTGTGTGCTTGTGTAAAATCATGTGCTTATCCAGGCTCTTTTTTTTTTAATTACTCCTTTCCATAATTTTCTATGTTCTAGATGGGTGCATAGTGTACTATGACCAGGCTAATCTCTCCCTTGTGTTCCACCACAACAGGCAATCAGTTAACTATAATGTGTAGGAGAGCTAGCTAATCTAATTATCTAATTTACTCCACTGGACAGACACTTACTCATGATTTTTAGTCATTTCCCTTACTCAATGCACTTCACACAAAATAAAATACTGGTAACAGCTTTATGCAGTACTTAAACATACACATCATTGCAACACCTGCCTTTCTTGTCAGGCCTTACACGAAGGGCTGTGATGCATTATTTTCCAAAAGAAATTCCTACTTATCTGAAACACAGTGATAGTAACATCAGAGCACTCCTTAAAAGCATTTTTACCTGCTAAGGGTGGCACCAAATTGCACAGTACTGGCAACACAAGACAGATTAGAAGCCTGGGGACTAATCACATCTTCAACCTGGCCACTCACTGATGTAACACTACAAGTGTGTGTGAGTATAAATGGAAAATATCTTTCACAAACCCAATGCAAGGCTTTGAGTGCCAAACAGGTGCTAGCTGTACTCTGTCCAACTCCAAATCCTGTACTATCAGGAAGTTTTTGTACTTGTCCAAAACACTGAAACATGCAGAAACAATTCCTGGACCTGAGCCTTCAATAACTCCCCTGTCTTTGTCAAGGTACCTGATACTAAAATAAGTAATATTGTACTTGCAAAACAAGAGTAAAGGAGTTAAAATTAAGAGAGCTATCTACTCACTGAGCAAGATGATGATACAAAGCAGAATTGCAATGATGGCACCAGTTCCCAGCCCTGCACCAACAATCCGGTCAACATCCGTGCAGTCTCCATTTAAGTCACACTGGCAAACTTTCACCTTCAGCAAGGAAGTGCTGGATGCATGTGGATTTCCAGAATCTGTAATTACTATGGGCACATCATAGATACCGGCCTCCAGGAACCGGATTCTTAAGGAGAGCTGGGCATGATCACCTGCGTGTGAAAATAAGGTGCTGGTTAAAAAGTAATATATTGCTCACATGGGATTAAAACAACAATGGCAAAAATAGCTCATGTTTCAGCTCAGTGCTAACTTCTTGCTCAAACTGCTCTGTGACACTCAGGGTGACAGACTTCCTGACTGCTGTGATCATCTTTTCTTTCTTAAGATTTCTTGTCCTCTGGGGAACTTACACTAAGGTGATTTCTTGTTCATATCAACCAAATTCATGTATGTTGTGAAATAATACCACAGAGAAGATATTTGCAAAAGTTTCTTTAAAACTATGAAGATTTCCATAATGTTAATTACCACTAATTCGAACAATGGTCCAATTCCTCTTAATACTAGCAGGTGTGTCAGGCAGTTCAAAGGCAAATGGGCCTGCATTTGGATCTATGTCAGGGTCTACAGCAGTGATGTTAATAGCATTAGGCTGCAGTGTTTCACAAGTTGTGGCTTCTTTTGGATGCACTTGGGGGGCATTATCATTGATGTCCAGCAGGTATATCTGAAGTGTGCCAGTTCCACTCATTGGGGGTATTCCTAAAAGAAAACGAAATAGCATTAAGCCTGTTTCCAGTTGCAAAGTTATTTAAATGAAGCTGTACCAACACACTTACATGTTTACCTCAGTTTTGGGATTCTTTTACAAAACCAATCTAACACTGTCACTGGCCCTGCTGACACAATAATTCTTATGTAGTCTGCACTCAGAAAAATGGCCCTATTCAGCAAAATTCAGCAAATAACTGCAGATCCATAGATCACGGACTCACTCACTTCACTGACCAGACAGACAGTTAACCTCCAGAGATGGTCCACATCAAAGGCTTCAAAGAAGGTGCAAAATAGGGATGGTTTGTCCTCTGGAAAAATTATTTCCTAACTTTGAAGGCTTAAGATCACCCTTTACCATAACTGTGCTATTTAAATTCTTTCTAATACTGAGTTTCATCATGCTATTTCTGGACATTCCTGCCATCTATTTCGAATGTGTTATGCTTTCATAAATCTTGCTGGAATCACACTGGTGTGATCATTTGGCACTGAATTTTTCAGTATAACTAGCAATGGTTCTCATTCCACCTCCCATAATCTTCCAGTTCCATTTATGTCCTTTCTCCAGAACAGAGCCAAAGTATAGAAACAGTTGATATAGCTTCCAGTTCAGAAATTTTTACCATGTCTTCTTTGCAAGGCAAATAGCCCCAGTGTTTCAGTTTTCCCTTATAATGTGAGAATGTCCCTAACTGTGCCTGTCCATCTTTCTGCTATCAGCTATGAACAGTACAGCCCTCCAGCTGAAATCAAAGGACTCATTTCTGAGCAGTGTTAATTGTCATTAACAAACTGACAACAAAAAGATACTTTTCCTTCTGCACTGCTGCAGCCTGAATGTGGGAAAATACAAAGCCCCTCCAATGACACATTACTCCCCATAAAGCCCACTCATGCTGTGCATTCACTCAACCTACCACACTCCCATGCAGGGCTTTTTCAATTTGCTGTCAACACAACTACTGTAACCAAGACAGTGTTTTTCTTTAAACTCAGAGAATTATTCTTCAGCCATTTCCCAAGAAGCTAGGAAATTATACATGGTCTGATAGTAATACAGACTTCCAACGGGATGTATTCTAAGCATATCCTGTTTTCTGCCCCTAAAACTGAATCACAAAGATGAAAAGCTTTTTGAAAAAAATACACAATATTGATACATACCATTATCAGAAGCAAGAAATGTTGCATTATACATATTGTTTTGCACATATATTGACTCTCTGTCCAAAACAGCTGTAGTAGTTATTTGTCCATTAACAGGGTCAATTTTCAGCCAATTTGCAGGATCTGAAAGTTTTGAGTACCTGTGTAATTAATCATAAGTTTACGTTATTTATCTAGCAACATAAAAATTGACAACAAAGACAGTATTGGTATTTTAATTTGTATTCTGAACATGTTTTTGGAATTTGAAGACACTATTTTATTTTCCATAATAAATTTCCATTTATCAAGCCCTGTCAGTAAATTTCTTGGAAATACATAAACCAGTCCTGCATTTCGATTCTTCAAGTGCCTTGCCCTGTAAGTTATCATGTAACTGGAGGAAATCATATAATTACCATAAACTATATAACATTAATACTCAGACTCAATTAAAATATTCAGTCAGGATCCTCCTTGGTTCTTCTACACCTACAGAGCTATTCATACTAATTTTCATATTGTCAGAGTGCTGAGAGCAGGAGAGAAGTAAAAACAGATAGTGTTAGTTGCACTAACTCACATTGTTCTAGCACTTCAGTATCACTTCATTTTCAGAGGCCCTGGTTTTACTGCATGTTTTTCATCTTAATTTGAAATAGAACTGACTTTCAAAACCATTCTTCTATCTGATAAATTTTCTCTTTGACATTAATCAGGTGCAAGCTATCTTAGTGTTGAAGTCCTCATGCTGTCATTTCTATGATGGTTATGTCCAGAAATGAGCAAAGTATTACAAAGAGCTAACCAAATATCAAGAGAATATAAAATTGCAATCATCTTTATTTTGGAAGGAAAGACAGTACAGAAGTCCTGGAGTTTCTTCTACATTAGCTAAAAAAAAAAGAAGCTGTATAAGGTGAGTCCTGACCCATGGGCAGTCACAGCCTTAGCTTTGCAAATAATGCCCATTTCTTACATGAGGCATACTTGTGTAGAAAAATTTTAGACATAAGAAAAATTATGATCAAATTATGATCATAGCTGTCCGTACAAGAATTCACAGACAGACAACACCTCCATTTTGCATTACTGGAGAAAAAATAAAAAGAAAACCCTTCAGATTTCATCACCAATCTGATTTCGTTGCCCTGTGAAAATTACTGGTGAATTTTAATTGCAAATGATCTTAATTCACAGAAGCACGTGCCTGTCCTGACTGAATTTGCTGGGATAGAACATATACTTTACCACAGATGCATAACTGCATTCTATCTTGATGCAATGGGACTTAGGATGAGAAAACGACCCAGCTTACACACCTGGTCAGTTCACCTTCTCTACAGCCAAAAATCCCTTTGGAGAAAGCTGCACAAAACCCACAGGATGTGTTGGCACAGCCGTGTGCTACAGTAAATGCAGTCATTTCACAAGTCACCTCTTTGCTCCCCCCCCATTCCACAACACAGATATTGCAAAGTGCTTATATAGACCTTAGGGAGGTTTGCTGCATGTAACGATCCGGGTCCTGAGCAGTAAAAGTTGTCAACATGCTCCCAGCCATCAGCCCTTCTTCCTGACGCACGAGCTTGGGGTTTGGAACAAAATATGGGGGCTCATTCACATCAATGACTGTAATGGACACAGTTGCTGTTGACTGAGGAGGATGCTGAATCCCCTTAGCCAAAGGCACTTGATTTTCTGCAGCTACGGTAAGTACAAACATCCTGTTGGTCTCGAAGTCAATAGGCTGGGAAGAGCAAAGAGCAAGTGTTAATGTTCACTCACAGTAGCAATGGACACACAGTAACATTTTAAAATTAAAGCACATTTTTGAAGATTACTTGTACTTTTCTGAAAAATGAGCACAGAGTCTGAAGAGAGCACAATCACCTCAACACAAGCCCATGTGTTGGGGTTTTGCTTAGCAGCATGTGGCGGTTTCAGTTCTGCACACAGCAGCAGCAGCAGTTTTGAAGTCAGAAGAGCTAGAAACCTTTAGAAATCATTCTGGGATTTAACCTACTCTGGTACTGCCATTAGAGACAAATGAGGAAACGAATAGTTTAATCACAAAATGATGAAGGAGCTCCCAGCTTTGTGCCAGGCACTCAGATGTGCCTCCTGATGATCTATCCTGGGGACAGAAAGCTGCCTCTTTCTGTCAGAAGGATGGAAGTTTCCTTCAAAGAAGTTCATGACTATAGCTATTCCCATAGATCAGAGATTCTCATGTCCTCAACATCCCACTAGAAAGACTCTTGGTAATCCCAGTAAACCTGTTTTCTGATATACCTATAGCTTCCACCTTCCCAGTGAAGATAACCTTCCATTTGGAGAGTTCCTCAAGAGCCAGAATTCCAACTTAAGAAGAACTAAAAACAGTGTGAATCTAGAGTTCCTCTGTCATGCTGCACAGGGTTGAGGCATTCCTGGAGACAGGATTTCCCTTTGTACTATGCACTGTACTACTCACACAGATCCCAGATTGGAAGAAAACCCTGTACCTTACTGGGGCAGTTGGCATGTGACAGTATGAAGTAAGTGACAAGAGACAATCTAATCTTCATTACAGGTTGACAGATCAACTCATTGCACTGCCAATAAAAACTGTAGGCAGGTTTCCAACTCTTCCCGTGTCTGGGCACTTAAAGGAGTGCTAAAAAGCACAGACACTCACATAATTCTTCTTGGAAGACTGCAATGCAACAATTGGTACCTCTGGGGAAGAGCAGTTATAAACCAGAGACAGTTCTTAAAGAAACCCACTGTGAATTACTATTAATGCTGCATGTAGGTTGTATCTCTTTGTCACCTAGATACTGGGAGGATTAAAATCAAACAAAACAAAATTAAATAAAATGAAACAAAATGAAATAAAACAAAACAAAACAAAAAAAAAGAGAGAAAAGGAAAAGTGAATTTTTTAATTTCCAAATGGGATTACTGGCATTGCACATTTGACTTTGAAACCGATCAGCCAAAAGCAGAGCAGGCCAACTCAGAGATGAGACATTTATCAGTGGGTCATGAGGAAAGGTGGCTATTGCCTGGCAGGTTTAATTATAGAATCACATTGTTATTATCACTTGAAATAAGTCATCCCTCAACACAGAGCTGTGTTGGCTAGAGAATGAAGACAGACAGGTTATTCCATAAAAGGTATTTAAATGAGGTTTTAAAAATAGCCAGTCTTTAAATGTCTCTTGTAGAAGTACCCTCCCACCTATTATTTTTTCCTCTCTGATTGTGCTTTGACTGCCTGTATCTCTTCCTTAATGGATCATCTTGACAGAAAATGTGCAGACGACACACATGACTACTAATTGAGGAGGTAGGAAGTTGTTTAGACTAGCAAAAAATACTAAGCAGACACTTTTCCACAGAGTAATTTCTAACTTTTAGCAAATAAAGATTCAAGATTTTTAATTTCTAATAACCTAGCCAGATTTTTAAAACTGAGCAGGCGGAATACTATTGATAGCATAAGCAAGGTAACATTCGAAGAGACAGACTCAATTCCACAAGAAAGGGAGCATCCGTTTTATTCCAGATTCATGCTGGCCTCAGGAATTCACATTTCCCACAATTTGGTGTTCTCCCACCTCTCCCATCTCTGCTGAACTCTCTGAAAGGCAGGCCTGCCTTACCTTTACGACAGTGACCAGCCCGTCGTTGCTGTTGGGGTCGGTGAGGATGGTGAAGCGGCCGGTGGGGTCCCCCCCGGTCATGCGGTACATGGCGTTCCAGGCCGGCGTGTGCGGCTGGTCCTTATCTGTCACCGTCAGGTTCGCCACGATCACATCCACCCTGTTCTCCGGCACTTCCCCATAGAACTGCAGAAACCATGGAAACATTTCACCTCAGCTGGGGGAGCATGCAAGGGCCACGCCAGGCTGAACATTCATCAAAGTGGGATAGCCCACCTCTCTTCACTGGAGCTCTGATAATTTATCTAATGAAGTTTACCTGAGGCCACCCAGAGAACCAATGGCTTGATTCCCTTGTTAGCTTTTGCCTTTTGGTCAAATGCAGAACACAGCATGTAAGGAATATATATTCTGCACATATTTTGATTCTGCCTGCCAGTATGGTATTTAATAAGTAATAAATATTTACTGTCTGCGAATATAATGAGAGAAACAGAGAAGGGTTATAAATACACACATCCTTCAGTAACTCCTATCCTGTACTTACAGTCATGGCAGTGAACTCTGGAGGATTGTCATTGACATCTGTCACAGCGATGACAGCAGTTGCTGTGTTTGAAAGACCATATGTTGGGTTTCCTTCCATGTCCGTAGCTTGAATTATTAATGTATATTGTTGTACTTTCTAAAACACAAAATGACAACATAAGTTTTAGACAAAACTAACATTACCATAGGACAGCAGGTGTTCCCAAAAATTGCACTCTGCTAAGCAACGGAGCCTATCACACTGTTTATTCTAGTTAGCATCACCCAAAATGACAGGAGCAAGCAAAGTTTGTGCCACAGAATACAGCAGCAGGTTGCTTATACTGAACTACTGTTTGACTTTCTTCAAAGACCATCAAGGTTAGGACAGGCTGACTACTTCCTACTCTAATAAATCAAACCACTTTAGACAGTTAATGCATGATCACAGGTTTAACAATGCTTTTCAAACAGTGAAAAGAGAGCCAGAGTGCATTTTATACTAAAACAGGGAAAGTCCTCAAAAGCATTTGAGAGCACTGAGCCAAGGTAGCTTTGTCGGCCAAACGGCCACAAGTGCCAAGGTTTTGTTTCAGCCAAGCCTGAGTATAAAACTGCTGCTGCAACTTCTTGTGATCTCTATGGAAACCAAAGATGTCGAGGCCAACAGAGACGAGTAAGGGCATTGGAGAGAGGGGGAGGGAAGCACCAAACGGGCTATTTCCATAAATGTTAAACACCCTGGCTGAGTATGGGCCCCCTCTCCCCCCACTGCTGCTAACGGCCCTTGAGCTGGGCATTTGCTCCCCCCTCACAAATGGACTGGGGCCAGCGTCCCTAAGCACCCAAAATGCCTGGTGGAGACCTGACCTCAGCCTGGTGAGCTGCTTAAAACAACATTGACAAGGTTCTATTAAAAAAAAAAAAAGCCATCATAAAGATGTTTTCTGTGTAGAATTGCTGAAAAGTTTATTTTAACTCATTGCTCTCAAATATTTTAACTAATTGCTCTCAAATATTGTGCATGCTCCTTCATTTTTTCAGTTCATTGTCCTTCCTTGCAGAGAAGTGTTATCATCCAGTTCTTCCCAAAAGAAAGGACACAAACAAAAGGAGCTGCTATTACTTTGAAACAGCACTTTCACAAACGGTTTACTAACACTGGCAAAAACATTATGGCAAAATAAAAATATTTCAGAAAGAGCCTATTTTTATGTTTTGGGTTTTTTTTTTTCCACTTGGTACACTATTTTCTTCCACTGTCTAAAGAGGGGGGTACATGACAGATTACTTCTCATGAAAACAATTTACAGAATCATGAAACATGCTGAGTTGGAACAGACCCATCAGGATCAGAGTCTGACTCCTGACCCTAAGCAGGACAACCCTAGAATCACACAATTTACAAAAAGGAATTACAGGTATTGATACAAAAAATAAGCAAGGATAATTCCATGGGTAGTATTTAGCTTTCTTTCAAACTTTGGCCAGACAGTACGATAGACATGAGAGGTTTAATGGTTTGCAACATTTCCAAGCAGCAACAATGAGTCACGGAATAGAAAGTTTTAAAAATAAGCTCTATGGATCTTTATCGCCCACTGAAGATAACGATTTATGCTCATGGCCTCTTTCACACAGAAACCTTTACAAGACACCGCAAATGTGAATTGCTACATACGCATCCCACAATTCTTTAAAAAAGCAAGACTAGTATTAAGTCTACAGAAATGCAGTATTCATGTTTGATAATGCATAAATATATATACGTAGATGTATATGAATTTTGGCTCGGAAAATATACTTGCAAACTGACCTTAAATAGGCTTTAAACATCTTAAAGGTTTCCTTCATGACACCAATAAGAGCAGCAGTCATGAGGGAATCAAAGAAATGCTTTTACCACTGTCATCCAGGAAAAAATCATACTTTACTTACTGTGAAGCAATAAAATCTAAAACAGTATTGAAGCAAATCTCACTGCCATATGATTCTATATTATTGAAACAGCAGGTGCTTCTGATTCATCTGGGTCTTAATACATTGATCCCAAGAAGCAAATTTCATTAAAGAAAACTCCATTATTATTACACAGAGACTCAGCTTCCTTACAATCGTCTTACTTAATTCCAACAGAACCACCACACTAAAAACTTCCCCAGAAAGTGCCCCAAAAGACAGCAAATCAGTGTTTTTGTTTGGTTCCTTGTTTTTTTCCCCCTCTTCCCAGCACTCACATAAAGCAGATCAGCTGCTGAGAGTGAAATTTCAGAAATCAAGAAGCACACAACTTTCCAGGCATGGGGAAATTGGGGGAGGTGGTCTCTTTTTACTGTGGTTTGAGAAGCAGCCAGGAATGAGCTGTGGAGCATGTGTCAGCAGCCTGCACAGAGACTTAGCAGCAACACATCTAAAAGCAAACTGGCAGCTTCAAGAAAGAACGCAGACCTCATCAGTTCACATCTTTCCACTTCAACAGAGGCCAAATAAAAGAGCACTTCACTGAATTAACCTCACGTGAGGCAGGAATGTCAGTGTGTAAATTTAAGTACCCTGCCTGACTTCTTCAGCACCTCCAGCAGTAAGGCAGATGTTTTAATGCCGAAGTGAATTCCACAGCAATAACGGAAGAAATAAGAGCAGCTGGATCTCATGAAACAGCATCTTTTGAGATAACAAATGAAAGATTTCTTCTGCCTTAAGCTGAGTTTCCTTACCTAAGCAAATCTCCTCCTGTGCATGTTAGCACAGATAATGCATTGTGCATGTTAATCTAAAATACCAGCAGATGAGGACTGCTATCAGAGGAACCACTTTTTTTTTTTAATGCCTACAACACTTATGCTCCCATAAAAAATGTGTCACATTATTTAAGAATTTAAAATTCTGCCTAGCATTTTATGACTTTAATTAGGGCTTTATCAAGAGAGACAAGACTTAGAGAAAAGAGTGGAAAGGCAGAAGTGGGCAGACCAGCTGGGGTACATGGACAACAAGGCACTCCCCAGCTCACTGTCAGAAGACGATTCAGCTTTGGCTCTCTAGACTCCCAGTCATTTTAATTTAATTGACTTCCACAAAATGACTCAGGAAATGGAGGAAGCAAAGCTTGGGAAGGAAACCATTTTATTTCATATTAGTCTAATTTAATATTTGAATGATTTAACGTTAATCATTAATATCCAACATGTTCAAGAAATGTTTATATATACCCATCTGGGTGTCAGCAGAGTGATCCATCAGGAAAACTAATGGTGAATGACAAGGCTTTTCCAACTGTTAATGTGAGGGTCTAAGCTCCACAGGCAGCTGGTTTCTTCCGAGTTAAATCCCTCCAGTATAGCTAGTCACCAAGTGATAAAACCTCAAGAATTATCGCTATGTCCTTCTGAAAGTTCATCTGTCAAAGATGACCAGGGGATTTTAAAAACAAGGGCAAAGCTGCCCATCATTCTTTTAATTTAACAGGGCCATACTGTAAAGTTCAGGGTTTTCCTTTGCTCAAATCCCTTCTCTTCAAAACCAACTTAAATAGAATGAATGTTAATAAAACCTCAAAAATTAATTGCAATATCTAACAGTCTGTTTAGCTTTTCTAATCTTCTGATTGCCCCTTTCAAACTGAAATGCATCAGAATATTAATAGCAAACAGAGCTTCAGAAAGCATTTTTATTCTCTATTTTAAATAACTATAAACAAGCAGCTAAAAGATGAACGGCAAACCCAGTACTTGGGATTTAATGAGCTAAAATGAGGTTAGTAATACAGAAGTTGAAACAAGATGTATTCAAAAGAGGTTTGTTAGGATTTTATAGCTTGTTTATAAAATAATGCTTATCTCTTCTGAAGTTTTCAAGTGGTTTAAAAGCACAGTTAGTGTGACAGATTTGGAGTTGGGAGGGAAATATTTTTATTCCCAACCTCACAGATGGGTGAATCAGAGTAGAGGATCTGGCACGCTCCTTCTCCAGTAGTGGGCACAGTGAGGAACTGTCTAGACAGGATGCACCTTGCTCAGCACGTAGCAGTGAATTACTGACAGATTATTTCTTTTTGCTATTATTATTATTGCACTGCTCTGCTTTAGTGTGTATCTGTTAGATGTATCTGTTTCTTAAGAGCAAACAGGTTTATTGGATAAGATCCTTTCCATGACCCCACAGAGCCAAGAGTAACTACGTGTATGGAACAAAGGTCCAATTTTCATCTCTAACATAATTTCCTCTCCTCTGAATTTTGTACTCTGAGACTAGGAAAACAACTGGTGTCAACAGGGTGAAGAAAGGGAGTAAGTTAAGACTGGGGATGGGGAGAAATATATCACAGCATCATGAAATTGTATGGACTAGAAGTGACCTTAAAGATCATCTGGTTGCAGACACCCAGCCCCAGGCAGGGACACCTCCAACTACACCAGGTTGCTCAGAATGCCATCCAACCTGGCCTTAAACACTTCCAGGGATGGGGAATACACAACTTCTCTGGACAACTTGTTCCTGCATCTTACCACCCTCACAGTAAAGAACTTCTTCCTTTTATCTGACCTAAATGCACCTGCTTTCAGTTTATAGTCATCTCCCCTCATCCTAGCTCTATATGCCTTTATTAAAAACCCCTCTCCAGGCTCCCCTCTATGCCCCATTTAGGTACTAGAAAGCAGCAATAAGGTTTCCCCAGAGCCTTCTCAGCTCTCTCAGCCTATCTTTATAAGAGAGGTGCTCCAACCTACTGATGATCTTCACATCCCTCCTCTGGACTTGCTCCAGGCAGATTCACTTATTTCCTGTGCTGAGAACCCCAGATCTGAATGCAGCACTCCAGGTGGGGTCTCAGAGGAGCAGAACAGAAGAGGAGAATTATCTGCTGGCCATGCTGCTTCTGATGCAGCCCTGGATATGACTGCCTGCAGGTGCACATTGTCAGCTCATGTCCAGCTCCTCGCTCACCCTCTCACCCACCCACACCCTGAGCCATCATCTTTACAATATTAAGTGCAACCCAGCCCACAGGATTAAGACCTGCCCTACCTCTCTGTCAAGCCCAGCTGCAACAGTGATAATGTCACCAGTTTCGTTGTTGATTGTAAACATGTTTGGAGAGGGGCTGCTCGGGGCCTGGGACAAGATTCTGTATCTCAGCATCCCATTCTGGGCGTTGGGATCATCAGCATCGATGGCAGTAACAGTCATCACGTAGGTCCCTAGCAGCAGGATAAATAATTGATGTTATATCAACAGTTTACACTCAGATTATACAAGATCACTTTACAAGCAGTGGTCAAAGCACATATTTCTTTTGGTAAAATCTGCACATTCCTTCTTTACTTAAAACAAACTGGCTTAAATCAAGACTCACCAACAGAGTAATTAAAATACATAAGAGGAGATAAAAATACTCTATGTTTATAAAAGACTAGATTTGCTTATAACTGAAGAAGCTACATAAACAATGAAACTCTACAGTTCTGCCACAAATAACATTTCTGTAACAAAAGAACATCTCATGTTTAGATACTTATGTTATTAATTGGGCCAAAGGAAATATACTTATTGTTCAGAATTGGTGGACATACTGATAGTGACTGAAAATCAATATAAATAATACTCTTTCAAAAGTCTTTGAGGTAGATCTCAAATGCCAAATAAACACTGCAAAGTTAGAAAACACATTTCTGGTGCTAACCTTTCATTTTGCACTTCTGACAAATTAAGGAAGTGGTTTCAGCCATACTGCAAACTTTAGTCTGTGCTGATTAGAATTTTAATGAGATCTGAACAACACTTAGGTTTTCTCAAGAATTCAAATGACACTGATTTCAAATCCCAGTATTTGCAAAGCCTCTGGGAATCAGAACTAGAACTGTATCTAGTGACATTTCAGAAGTCTCTTATACCCTGACCTGTCAACTAAATGAACATCAATGTCCATCATAAAAATAAATGTAAGAACTGTGATGTTATAATTAGGATTTTGAAAACCATAAACCAGAAGTCATACACTTAAAGCCTCCCCTGGTTTTAGTTCATTCACATAGCAATTTTGCCTTTTGGAAATGAATCCCAGCATGCTAAAAAGTGCATTAAAAATAGGGTGAAATAAGAAGATAGAGGATCTGAGATTTTGCTCATCACACTAAAGACACTTTTCAAAGTATTACAAGGTCTGAAGGCACTCCCTTCATCACACCTTCAAAATGACACTGTAAATATGATACTTCAAAATAATACCTCTGCCTCCCAAAAGCCCATATATTACCTGGCTTTGATCCTTCAGGGACTGTCCCATTCCAAACCTGGTGTAAGAATTCAGGTCTATTGTCATTCATGTCAATGACATTAATAACAATGTCAATAGGATTTTCCACCTGGTTTCCATTTACATCCACTGCATGTGCTCTCAGCTGCAAAAATCATTAAAAGTATTAGAATTTGCACAACATACAGGTGCAAATAGATATAATAATAGTGACAGGAAATTTCAGGCCAGACATTTTTAGCTCAGTGTATTTTCTTATCTGCCACTGCTCCTTCATATCGACGTTTTAAATTTCCAAGCTGCTAATGGAACTGATGTTCAGACTTCCAAACTATTCTAAGTTGCAGACTTCCTTCCTTGATTTGATGAAAATTATTTTAGATCATGTAATTTTGATTACTACTAGTGCCTACTGTCATATAGAATTCTGTTTTTAATAATGGCTATTAGAAAACATTCTCTATAAAGATGGAGATTTAAGTGTAAATCTGTGTATTTAGACCACAGCATGGCCAGTGCTAGGGAAAAGAGCAACTTTCTCCTATAGCAGTCCTGCTGATGCCCATCATGTATATACACACACACATATCTTATGGCTACAAAGCTACTAGAAAGCAGCAAGATGGCATTATTAACTCACCACTCTGGTAATGACTCATATAAATGTAAATTCCTAAGTCAGTAAATCCTGAATTGCCAATGTCAAATTCTCAGTTAAAATCTTATGGATGCTAGAGCTGTTTTTTGAGAGCCTTTCACCCACACCTCCCCCCCAGATGCTTCCTGCTGTGTCCTCTGTTTGGGAGCAGCACTCAAAGAGCTCCCCAGAGCACAAGGTAAGGAGTGTTTTAATCCACAACATGCTGGAAAACTCTCTCCAGTTTTCACTCACCCAGGAGCTGGGTGATTTCAGCATGGTTTCCCAAAAGCAAAGGAAACTTTAGGTCACAGCCTGCTCTCCCCATCTCCTTGCAACTTTCCTTTTCCACTGGTACTGGAATCTGTGGTCTACTTTTTCAATTTCTTTAGAGCAAAGAATATCATTTTCATAAGCTGACAGGCCTAATTTACAATTCTATTAAAATGCTTAGATTTGGCCCTAAAATAAAAATTGGTATGTTATTCTTCCCATCCATTTCTCAAATCACAGCTGCTGCTGCAATTCTAATAGCAGTCACATCCTAATTTAAGTTGCTGAATTAAAAATAAACTTCTGGAAAGTATACAATTCAGTGGAGACTGTGATCCATGGCCTGTACTTGAAATATAAGCCACAGTACCCATATTTCCATATTTTAAAATTACTTTACCTAAATACATTTAATCACTGTTTACGTATGTTAATGTACTTAAGCTGCTTAAATATAGTAAGAGTTAGCCTTATTAAGTACAATAAATACAAATCTGCTACAAACTCCTCAAATCATATCTCATACAAAACTAAATGCTGGCTGCTCAAGTCATGTTTGAAGCAGATGTTCATCTTCAATTTGATAATCTGATTTGTGGTAAATTAAACTCTTACATGAAAAGAAGCAATCTGCTCCCGGTCTAAAGGCTTTGTGACAGACAGCTGTCCTGAGATGGGGTTGATGATGAAGATGCCTGTTGGAGGCTGGTCAGCTCCTGGGCCAGTCACGCTGTACCGCAGAGAAAGGCTTTTATCACGATCAGACCTAATCTGTGTGTCAAAAAAAGATAAAGTTTACATTAGCTACAAACAAGTGCAGGATGGGACTGCTGCTGAGACAAGCAGCAGCTCTATTTATCTTCTCCTTGCTCCTTAAGATGTACTTGCAAAAATAAGTATTCTGGAAATGGTACAGAGTTGGTGTAAAGTCGGAAGTTCTTAACAGCACTCTATGTTAGAAACTGGTCATAGGATATTCAGAAATGTAAAATTATCCCTGTTTATTTCTCAAAATAAAAATTATTTGTGTTAAACAAAAACAAGCAAATATTTTAAGCGAATTGTTTAGATCTTAGAGAAAACATATAGTATCCTAAAATTACACATGAAATAAAAAGCCTGGTTTGTGTTTTCCCCTTTCTCCGATACCTTCTCAGCCCAAAGCTACAGGTGCTCTTCCATGACAGGCCAGCTCTTCAGAAACTTGCCATTTTTGCTTAAACACTGAACTTGTTTCATATTCCAAGGAAACAACGGAAGGGAAGTGCATCTCTGAGGAGCAGCTGAATCACCAGTGCACACATAAAACAGAACAGAGTGGAACTGTGTCCTATCAACTTGGGCTAATGTTCTGCCAAGTTCCAAAAAATTGATCATGACCAGCCAGTACCATGTGTGGAGCCAGCCCAGAGGAGGCTGGCTCCTGCAGTGGCTCCTTGCAGTGGCCACTTCTGGGCAGCAGAATCCTGTGGAAGAGCTGCTGTCCCCACCCCATCAGATACAATTTCCTTTGGTCTCCTGGCGCACTCTGCTTCCTGCTCACTCCCACACCATTTCCCAGGCAGGGAACTCCAGTGCAGGAGACTGGAAAACTCCTGAACCAGCAGAGATGCCCCTTAATACACTTACCACCCAAAACAAGGTCATCTTCCACCAGCAGAGATGCATAGGAACAAGTTAAACCCCAGGAAATTAGATGCATCCCAGCATGCAATGCACAGGTAGCAACAAGAAACCAAAAGACCCAAAAGACTCTGATAAATGTCTGGATGATGAACAAGACATCATTTACACAAAACCTCTTCAAGAGCTCTCTGAGGGATACTGAAACCACACTTCTATTAACTTCCTTACCCTAACTAATTCCTGAGGAAAAGGTCCTTTGGAATTTTCTGGTAGGTTGATTGGAGGAATAACCCAGTCTCTCTTCTGCCTCTTCAGAGGGCTGCTGTGCTTGTATTGTTGCCATGGAAATATGATTTCTTCAATTTTCCTTTGGTCCTTTCCCAGGTACAAGATAAAATTAAGCACATGTTAGAAGGAGAATTACTAGCAGACATTATAAAGTAACTCAGGTACAATTACATAACTGACTGAAAGACTGTCCTTTCTCTGTGTTCATCGAACTGTTTTATTTGCATTCACAGTGCAGTTTGAAAATAACCAATATCATTTACAATTTCACTGCCAAAGTTTAAGAAACCTTTTTTTTTCCCTTATTTAACTAGGAAGAGAAAGGGAATTATAAACCATTTATAACATGGCACTAACTGTGTAAACTATCTGGCACTTTCTGAGAAGTAGTTAATATTTTGCAGAATTTAATAGTATGCCTTTATGTATTTCTCATTAGCTAGAGCTTCAGTTCAGGTAATGTGCTACTGTACTCTAAATTTAGATCTGGGTGTGCTATAATGTAATTTGAGTTCCAAGAGAAGTTTAATACATACTGGTAAGGAATGTCTCAAATATTTATGACCCTATTAGATCCCATAGAATTAATGCTGTAATTATTTTAAACCTATGTCAGCCATGATGGATGCAGTAGATGACCCACTTTACACACTGGGCATTAATCTCTGCTGGGTGTCAACATTCCCTTCTATATCTGCAGTTATTTCATCCTCTGGATGACAGCACACACAGCTAGCTAGCTTGCTTAAGGTTGGAAACAGGGTGACAAAAACATCCTCCAAATCTTTCAAAAGAACTTTTTTTTAATCTAGGCAACTACATTGCAGAGTACGAACAGACACCCAAATGAAGGCCAGACTCTACTCCTCTACATTCTGTTAATGGTAAGGACACCTGAATAGTGGCTTTGGAATAAACAGGGCATGCACTGCCACATCTAAGCATCTGCTCTTTTACAGTGCTTCTACAAACAAAATGACAGTATTTCCATTGTTAAAATCATGCCTTAGCAAATTTAACACAATCACCAAGTAAGCAAACAAATGAGGATTACACACAGTGGTCTCCAGCGTGTTCTCAGGAAAAATGTATTGCATAACCACATTACCTACTTTTAACATGATGCTTAAATCTTAAATGTCTACCTATTATAGGTATGTTAATCTATGAATAAATTTTGTTCTTTATCTGTAAACTGAACACTTCTCCTTCACTAAGGAGAAGGCAAGAAACAGTAGGCAACAGGTAATATGACAGAAAAAGGTAAACAACCTAATATGCTTTTCTAAAGTAAACACATTGCTAATTGCACATTGCTAGGTCTGATTTTTGTTACAGTACATGGTTTATCCTATGGCAGCTTCCAGCAGAGGGAGACTATCTTCCTTACCAAGTAGTGCTGGAATCATGAATAATTTACAATCTCCAATTTGATTATGACGGGACACGACAAAGCCAATATTCCCTGCCAGAAGTGCTTTCCTACTTACTGCTGTAAATCTACAGTTCCCATCTAATAAATGTGACTGATGCATTCTATCACAGATTTGTTTATTTTGCGGTTATATTTAACCACTTGAATAAATACTATAATACTTTCAAGCAATTTAAAATAAAGAAATGGCTGGGAGACTTAAATTCAGGTCTAAATCTCAAGCTATACAAACAAAAAGCTCAAACACAAAGAATCCTATATAGTTTAATAAGCATGTCTTTTCATGCCTTAGCAAAACTACAGAATAAAAGATGATCAAAGTTCCTTCTAAAGCTCCAGCTTTGCATGCACTAGGTGTCCATTAATAAGCTGGTTCATGGAGAGGTGTATGACAGGCAAAATTAAACCTCTATTTTTATGCCTCTTTGTGGAGATACATTTATACAGGCTGCATTAAGCTCTTGTTTTACCTTTTCTGAAGCCCCTGTGAAGGCTGGTTCAGGGGTTAGCTTCACCCTCATTTGCCATTCTTGCTGGGTTTCCTTGTCTTGAGCAGACACGACAAACTCCGTGGGCTCCGCTGAAAGCTGGAAGCTTCGCTCTGCATAGACCACACCATCCTCACCTACTCTGAAATCTTCTGGCTCACTGCTACCAAAGTGTATTTTTTTGTTTCCATCACAGCTTCGAAACCTCACTGTAAAACAGACATAAAATGGCAAACAAAACAAAATTGAAAAAGCAGCCCACTTGAATTTACTGTGACATAAATGCACTAAGAACAATATCAAAAGCAGAGATGCTTAGCTGCTACTATCACATGCAGTTACAAGTTAGGACTTGTACTTTACCAGTCAGTCCCTGCCACATAACAATGATATTCTTCTGTGGACTGCCAGGCTGAGATTTTAACCCTAGACAGGAACAGCCTCCTGCCCACAAAGCTGCAAGAAAACCAACTCCTTCCATGTCCTAAGGTACACTTCAGTCGGTTGCTAGTTGGGTTTGCATCTCAAGCTTCGCAAAGATCTAGTCAAGCTGAGTCATTAAAAATGCTCAAAAAATTTTATTACACTGCAATCATAACTGCAAACACAACTGTGTTTCCAGCATGTTCTCGCTGCTAGTGGGGGTAAGGCAGAAACCCTGAAGTATGTTAAGAATATTAAATTCTGTGCCCACATCAGCCTGTGATTCAGCTGTGCCATCTCAGGAAGATTTCTTATGAGCTCTGGGACTGAGTTTCCTTGTCCCTCATTGACAAGATGGAGGAGGCAGTAAATGCCTCACAAAGAAAACCTAAGTTAAAGACCTTGAGTTTTTCTTTTGGTTTGGGTTTTTCTGTTTGTTTGTTTGGGGTTTTGGGTTGTTTTTGGGTTTTTTTTAAGCTATGTTCTGTACCACACATGTCCCTTTATCTACTTAGGAATTACCTATTCTTGTTTAATTCCCTCCTCCCTCCTTCCTTTTGTTGTGTCTGAAAGACACACACTGGAACAAGAAGTCAGGAAAACCGAATGTAGAGATAATGATGTGCTGTCCACAAAACAGAACTGGTAACAGGTTACTGCCATATCTACCCAATTCTTTTCACCATCAGTTATCTTCTGGGTTACTGCAAATAATAGTAAGTAAAAAAATGGAAGTGTGCTTTTATAACCAATGATCACTCTTTAATGTTTCCAAAGCATTATGAAGTATTTTGATTGTATGGGCAATAGAAGTGCAAAATACCATTATGAAGGTTGTGCTGAAATCCACATAGTGAAGATGAAGATGAAATGAGGCTTTATGCCTCATTTCAGTTATTGCACTTTTTATATTGTGCTAAACCATGCAAAAACTATTTAGCTTCAAAACCTAAAGGTCCCTCTCAAGAAAAATCACTACTAAATGTCATGCATCATGTGCTTTCTTCTGTAATGCACTGTTTTCAGGAAGGTACTAAGAAGAATCATACTTTTTTGTGTTTGAACTTTAAGGACCAGGCTGATGTTCACATGAGAGATTAAATTTCTTTCCTTATTGCACCCTTCCAGTTATCCAGAATCCCCCATTTTCCCTCTCCTGACAGAAAAGACGGTATTTTAAAAGAGTGCATCAGATAAAAAAAGCAGACAAAGCACAGCACCACTCTAAATAAATGATACAGCATCAACCTTCTTAATCGTGATCTTGCTGAACTGGGCAGGGATAGTGCTCTTTCCAGACAGATCACAGAGTTTGAAGATGTTTGGAGATGTCAGATCCTCTGTTTTGCAGGTAACATGGGAGGAGAAAATTGGCAGGCAGAAGTTCCAGTTCCCAGATGTTAACCATCCCATTGACCCCCTGCTTTTTTCAACATGGGCCTTGCAGTTTGAGTCAGCTCACTGCAACACTTGGTTGAAATGCTACAGCCAAATGAGAACATGCATGACTCTAAGCCAAGAATACAAAGCTACTACTTAAAGCAACTACTCCAGTATGTAGAAATTATCACAGTCCTAATTCTGTAATTCTTGCCCAGCGCAGAAATAAAAAGATGTCCAAGAACAGCTTACTCCAAAGTCACTATGTTTAACAATAAAAGAATTTAATGACTAATTAATGGACTATTGAACAGTGCTATTTGTACTTGGTTACACAGGCACAGACAACTCAGACCTCAAGCATGGAGGAAGCTGGGCATCCTTAAAATGCCACCACTGTTCCCAAACAAACCTCTCAGAAACAGTTCACATAAGAAAAAAAAACAACCAAAAAACCAGCAGCCAGCAACATAACCCATAGCTCTGTGCCTCTGCTAACCTCTCATCTCAGCTACAACTTCTCTCAAAATCTGCTTTTCAAAAATGTGTCTTGACCAAAAGGACAAACAGTTCTAGAGCCAGCTCTATCTCTGGTTTTTCTCAGATTTACTTCTGAAAAGTACAAGAGTGGGAAAGAGAATGAAGATTAATCTAAACTTTGATCATTACTGTTTCCCAAAAAGGTGAAAGCTAAAATGAGTATTTGTCATTATGGTCTGAAAGAGCAAGATATCACAACAATATTTTATAAAAATATTTCCTAACTATTGCACAGTAACAGAATATGTTCCTATTTTAGATATTCAAATTCATAAAGAAGAAGATTTCTTTTCCCCTATCTCCTTACATACAGACTCCAGCAGCACAAAAATAAAACAGAAAAACCACCCTGCTAGCCACTTCATTGATATTCTTCCCCAAGGCAACTGTATTATGAAATTCAATGAAAATCCCTTCCTCTGACAGTATCCTGGTAAAAACATATAAAATTGTCAATGTGAGAATTATTCTCCCTTTGCAAGGAGCACACATTAACGAATTATAGTCAAGTATAACCATCTATAATTAAATTCCCTTGACAGAGTACAGGTTGTGCAGTAGCTACTCTCCCCCCAAACACATGGCTATCAGTCTTGTAAATTCGATTTAGATCACTTTGCTTCATTTTTCAGCGTTCAACTAGTATGAACAAAGAGTGATTTCTGACAGTAGGTTTTCAGGCAAAGATTTTTTTTTTTTGCAAAAATGCTACAGGAAATATTTTTTTTGTTTTACTGTGAATAATGACTGCTTATGCAACCCTGTTCTTTTCTAAAAACCACAGGAAAGGGAGGCATACTTTCCACAAGTCACTTTATGTTGACAGATCAATCACAGATTTTTTTTTTCCACTTAAAAAAAAAGATTAACTAGATATCATCTGCAGAATCTTAGTAACTTAATATGCAAGAGAAAGAGTAATCAAGTATCTGATTTTACTGCTTTTTCATAACACTCTGCATAAATGATCAGGTAAGAGTAACATAATCTGTAAAAATAACTCATGGATTTTTGAGTATCCTGTGCATCTTCTGAAAGTATTTGCTTTTTAGAAGTATATGATTTGAAAGCCCTGGGATGTATTCAATCAAAGATAACTGTTTCAATTTTAGAGAATACTTTTGGTCATATAAAAGCAGTAATATGCAACATGGGAGTAAATGCACTCAGTTCACAGGCTCGAAATAGGGTTGTGCACAAGGGTTTATAAATGTAGGGTCTTTAAACAGAAGAAAAATTGTATTTAGTATTAGCTTATGACTATCATTAAATATTATACCCTAAGACAAAAGACCATTAATTTCCTAATTTGAGTCTTTTCTTGTCTTAAAAACAAGGCAAGTATATTCTATTAAGTAAAGAATAGAAGAGGACCTCTGAGACTACAACATTGTAAAATGGAAGTCTACAGCTCCATGATATTAAAGGAAGCTTTCAGTTTAACACTCTTGCATGGAAGTAATTACAACGTGTGCATACATGTGTAGTGTACAAAACGTTAAGAACTAGACATGCAAATTCATTTAAAGTGCACTAGAGATCACCACCACTCCTGCTCAGGTCTAATGAGATGAATGATTCATAGTATCTGTAAAATACAGCTACTCATGTTGGTTTGCACTCTTTGCCCACGTGCTTCTGCTCTTTTTGTCCTAGGAAAATAATATCAGAATTATTTGATCCAAACAAGGACTGAGCAAAAAAATTGCTGTTAATAATATAGCCCACTGTAAAATATTTCATGAACATATATATTCATGTGCAACATAGAATATTAATACATAACTTTCATTACCCGTTTTGATCGTGAGACTGAGTTTGCCATCTGGATTTTCTGCACTTAGAAAAGAATTCAATTCACATCCAGATAACATCCACATGCATATAAGCACACTAGAGTGTGTTTCCTTCTGTAAATTTGTTGGAATGCTCTTCTCAATGCCTAAGCAGCAACCTCAAGGTAAAGGCTCACTTAGTAGAAATCATGGAAAACTGCAACAAATGCCAAGTGCTAACAATGCATACTTCAGCAATACAGTTAAGAGCATGCATCATAAAACAGAAAACCTACAGCTATTTCATCCATTTGGGATTGTTTTTGCAACAGACAAAATAAACAGAATAAGAAAGTATCTTAGGTACAACTACCTACTAGATACCACTTTTACCTTTGACAGATGGAGAAACTATATGGAAACATTCTGCTTGAACTGTCTAGCCATCTGCATATTTAATATCTGAACACTCTCCAAGAACACTCAGTATTAAACAAGTCTTTACTTCTCAGAGAGAGAAGCAGGAGAAAACTACACGAGAAACCCCATATAATGCCCCCCTCCCCGCTCTTACTTTATAAATTAGTAATTTATTCATACTGGTTACTTCTGTATCTGTAAGATGATCTGTTAGTCCTACTGGCATAGTGCACATGCTCATATTTCAGTTCATGGCTTGTTGGAGTGGCATGTGTAATGCCCATGAGACATCCTTTACTATAATTATAGATGACCTTCAAAAGAACTGGGTTTTTGACATCCTGGCAAACTGTTGTAATCACAAAGAACTAAAATACATTCTAACTTGCCTTTTCCATCACCAACCTTCAATTTAGTCTGATTTTAGAACTTTCTGAAACCATCTTGAAATCTTACTAAGTATTATTTAATATCTGATTTTCTGATCAGTTGTCTGATGGGTTGTCTACATCAGCCAGAAAAATGTTGTTTGCGTCTGCAAACTGAGAATATTAGCTACAGAAATTACTGAGTCAAAATAAATATGAAATATAATCAGGTTACTTTAGGCAATGGCATTTCCCTACCTGTACTGTAATTCCATTTGACATTATATCCTTTAGAGATATTTC